CTTCTTTGGTGAAGTGTCTGTTCATATCCTGTGCCCATTTTTCTATTGGATTATTCACCTTTATCTTGTTGTGGTGTGAAATAATTTTTAAAATAAACAGGCCTCAGTCAAATTTTAACCTGAGCCAAGCATGAATGTGTGTGGATGTCTACAGTTGTGTGCATATATGTGTGTGTGCATGTGTATGAGCTTGTGTATGTGGGAAGGTATGTATTTGAACATATATGTGTACACATGTGAATGTGTGTGTGTCTGTGTGTGTATGTAAGGAGTATACACATAATCTCACTCCTCCTTACAAGATCTCTCCTCTCCACTAATCATCATGTCTTTCAACCCCCACAAACATATATCCTGCATCATACTCCCTAAAGGATCTTTTGATTAGATTTGATTAACCTTGATTAGCTTAAAACGTTAACTAATAAGAAAACACCAGTTAATATCTCAAGTGCTAATTATAGAGTTATTTTTGTAAAAGTAGAGTTAGAAGACACTTTGAAGCTTATCACATCCAGAGCGCCCCCTTCCCCCCCACTCCCATGCCTCCACTAATCTTACAGATGGTGAAATTCAAGGCCCAGAGAGGCCAGGTGACTAAGTTAGCTCACCAAGTTAGGGTAGGGTTGGGTCTAGCATTCAGGCTTCGGAGGTGCTTATCTGGCTGCCACAGGGCTCGGTTTCTGTCCAGGCAACAGGGATGCTAGCTTTTGCTATCTTGAAAACAAACAAAACCTTTCTTTCTCACAATTGTTGTTGTTGTTAGTTGCTATGACGTCGACTCTAACTCACAGCAACCTGGAATTGGAGTTATGCCCAATAATGAACGTCACTTAAGACCCCATTGCCCTGTCCTGTCTTGTGGTCACTGGGATGTTTGAGTCCGTTGTTTCAGCCAGTGTTAGTCCATATTATGGAGGGTCTCCCTCGCCTTTGCTGGCCCTTTATCCAACATGATGTCCTTTCCTAGAGATTGGACTTCCAATCTGGACGAGTGTCCAGAGTAAGCAAGACAGAAATCTCACCACCATCATCGCTTCTAATCCTTTGGTCCAGGTTGTGTGGGTTTTGGTTTGTTTTTTGTGGTTTTTTTTTCTTTTTTTCTTTCTTTTGTCCTTTGGAAAACCACAGAAGTGGCAACCTTATCATTTCGTAGCCAGAGTGTGCGTTCTTATGATGAGCTGTCACTGTTGGTGATAACTTTAATCGCCTGGTGGAGTCAGTGTTTTCAAGTTTCTCCTCTGTCCGATCACTCATTCCCCTGATTTAAGTTAAAAATTGCACCGTGGATGGAAGCGGCTGTGCGTAACACACCTGCCAGGGGTGGGAGGTGAGGCTTCAGTTCCTTGAGGGTTGGGCATCCATATGACACACTGATGAGATGGGCAGCTGGTTCGGACTATGTGAGTCATCTCTGCCCTATCTTGGCAATTTTTCTGTGAGTTTAAGATGATCCTGAAACTTTTTAAAAAGCAAGAAACAACAAGGGGAAAGATGCCCCAAAATGTGCTTCTATTATTTACATAAACACTAGGGTAGAAAGACCGTTGCTTCCCCTTGGGCATAGCCATTACTCCACTGGTGGCCCAGTGGTAAGGAGTCGAGCTGACAACGTAAAGGTACATGGTTCAAATTCACGAGCTGCTCTGTGGGCAATCTCTTCCCGTGTGAGTAACAGCCCCTAAGAACCCTCAGGAGGGTAATCTATGGGTCACTTTCAACTTGATGATACACAACAACAATGCAAAATGAAAATACTGTTGGGGAACTTAGAAGTCGTTTGGAAGAAAGGAGGTCCAAGGCACCTAAAATCCCAGCTCATCTGAAAAGAGAGACACGTAGGCTGCACCAGCGCACGCATGATGGTGGCTGAGGAGTCCAGATTGTGGAAACTCTCTCTGGGTGTTTCTCTTAAGTAGCAAGGTGGGGAACCCGCTTGACATGGGCCAAGCAATGCCTCCTATTACAGTCTAGAGAGCTGAGCAGTAAATCCTGGATTAAAACACTCTGAGTTCTCACATGTGGCATTTTTTCCCATTGCAGCTGGTTTGCAGGCAACATCTCCAGGTCACAGTGCGAGCAGCTACTGAGACAAAAGGTAAGTTGCCTTGCTGGCCTTGAAATCACCTCCAAGAGCTTTTCCCCTTGAGATTGAGGCGCCCAGAGGGTAATGAAGTTTTTATAGACTCTTTATTGCTGAATGCCCCGTCCAGCTCATGTGAGTGTTGGTTGGTGAGCCCTTCACATCCTCTGCTTCCGAGATTGACACAGTGACTTGTAGCAGTGGGTTTGACTGTAGCAGCAAGGACGGTACAAGATCGGGCAGAGTTTTGATCTGTTGTGCATAGGGTCAACTTGATAGCACTTAACAACATTAACAGTATTATTGTATGATAAACTACCCTTTCATTTGCGTATTTTGAAACAATGTTCATTTGGAATTTCTACCAATTCCACGTGTCTGTTGAACACGCAGTGCCGTGGCTTAGGATAACTCACTGAACTACATTTAGCTGGTCGACTGACTGGGAGATGAATGTCCGGTTTGCCTGAGGTAATCAGCTGAGGCACCAAAATGCTTCTCTGGATAGGTTACTAGGGCTGCCTCCCAGTATGGTGATTTCAGAGCAGGGTTAGAAAGCCCCGCAGCCCTGATGGCCTACTGCATTTTGTCTTGGACTATTAACAAAAAGGCTGGCAGTTCAAATCCACCAGGCCTCACATGGAAGAAAACTGGACAGTCTTCTCCCTTAAAGATTTACAGCCTTGAAAGCAGGTTGAGGCTCACCATAGTTAATAAAGAACTCATTGACCATGGGTACGTTGGCCTTGCATTTATTAATGTCCCATTGGTCAGTACAAGTCACATGGCCAAGTGTAGAGTCAGTATGAGAGGAGACCACACAGGGCGTAACTACAGACAACCAGAATCGAGACCTCTTACTGTTGAAGGAATTCCCTGACTCACAATGACTCCAGCGTAGAGCTGAGCTCTGTGTGATGAGGCTGTTCTACTCTGTATCAGTCACTCTGCTTCGGAATTGACTCAGCAGTGGCGAGCTCTTTGGTGTTTGAGTGAGAAACTCTAACACCTCCTTCACGTGTCTGAAGCTTAACAGAAGCACACTATCATAGTGTTCTCGTAAAGAGGGGCTGGTGGATTTGAACCACTGACTTTTCAGTTAGTAGCACAACACTTAAACCACTACATCAAAAGGACTAAACAGCAGTGAGCTCTTTCGGTGTTTGGTGTCTGCATTACCTCAATAAATGCTGTGTTTCCTGCCTTGCTCTTTAAGAAAGACTGACTGCTTGAATGAGAAACATCGAGTTTTTTTCTGCATCTCTGGCTTTCTGAAGCTTTCCCAAAGTGTAACATGGTGGGACCACGGAGTTGATTCTGACGTGTGGCATGTGGAATCGAAATTTATTTTGGCAGGATGAAAGGACTGGACTTGCACGCGTACTAAACCAAAAGGTCTCAGAGAGGGAGCATTAACGTTTGCAGGTTAAGTTCGAAGAGAGGCTGAGTGAGACCAGGAGGAGCGCTGAAGGAAGTTCTGGAGAACAAAGCCAGTGGGGTGTGGTGTGTGTCTTCCTCATTGTCTTTCCTTTTCAGGAAAAAGAAGGTGCATTCATGGTCAGAAATTCCAGTCAGGTGGGGATGTATACCGTGTCCTTATTCAGTAAGGCTGTGAAGTAAGTATCATGGGGATTTTCTTCTTCTCTCTCTTGTGCCTGTTCCTTGGTTACACTGGTCACTTAGTCAGCCTTTGGGATAAGATAGTACCTTGGCAAGGCCAGACTTTTGGATGTAAGTGCTTTTGTTAGATGGAACCCTTTGTAGGTGTCTTCCCCACTCCCTCATCCAAGAGGCTAGGGCCATAGTGATCCACCCTCAGACAGAGGTAGAGCCGAGGAAATGTTTGTTTAAAAATTTGGGGCAATTCCCCATACTTCAGGCTTAAGCCTAGGAAGAGGTTTAAGCAGACACAAGGCATACTCCCCATCCTCGGTGCAAGCCACCATTTGAGCTGAGAAACCTACCACAACATCTAGTGGAAAAGAGGCCTTCCTGAAGAAGTCAGACTTGGAAGAAGGCTGCATCAGGGTACTTGTGTTTCCTGGCAGCTTCTCTCTGAGGTGGTTAAGAGCACCCCTCTGACTTCTCAGATCCATGAGCAAATTTGCCTATCTCCATGCCTTGGCTTCCTCTTCTCAAAGGGGGATGTGATAATTGTTACCATCCTGCGGATAAAATGAGTTAATTCATGTATTGACCTAGAGTGGTGCCTGGAACCTCAGGAACACTTAATAAACTATTAGCATTCACTGCTGTTGTTGGGGCAAAGTAGTTTTTACCGGGCCCACTTCACCTCCTAACACTTAGGGGCTTAAGACACCCCACAAGTCCTCATCCGAGTCCTCATGCGAGTCCTCATCCCCTGTCTCCATACCCAACCAGAGTTCGACAAGCCACTTCCCCATTGGCTGTGAGCTAGCCACCCTGAGAAGCAAGTGGGAGAGAGATTTGTATCTGACCATTTTACCCATGAACCGACGGAAGGTCAGACTCCTGGAAAGCTCAGGAATGGCCGGACTCCCAACAGCAGGCTGTACCCAATGCTCTGCATTGAGAATCTGATTCAACCTTAACTAAGACTATTTAAGAAAGAATTGTCTGTGTGCAGTGATCCTGGTTTTAATTCAGAGATCTCTCTGCCTCCATGCCTTCTCCATGATCCCTGCCTGCCCTGTAAGCTTGTCATAATTAAGTATGATTTCTGTCATAATTTAAATATTGTTGTTGTTGTTGTTATGTGCCGTCGAGTCTCTTGCGACTCATAGCGACAACAGCCCTATACAACAGCCCTAAACTCCGCTCTGTCCTGTGCCAATCGCACTGTCTCTGACACTCCCATCCCAATTATCCCAGTCACTGAATCAATCCACCTCATAGAGGGCCTTCTTCTCCTGCGCTGTCCCTCCACCCTCCCAAGCATGATGTCCCTCTCTATAAATTATAAAATTCAGTAATTAAAATATAAATCCCATAATTAATTTCAGATAAAAAAATTTTTAAGCAATAACTAAGTTAAAATATGAAGTATATAATGAAGAAATTTAAAATACAACATTTTAATAATTAAGTAATTTAAAATATAAAATACATAAGTAATTTAAAAGAGAAATTTTTACTAAGTTAAAATATGAAACACGTAAGTAATTTAAAATATTAACCTTTTAAAATGAAATAAAAAATTTAAGTTACGTAAAGCTACATTTATGTGATATCATTAAATTTTTAAATGAAAAAAATTTTTAAAGTTACATTGCTGTAACTGTCAAAATTAAGCAATTAAAAAATGATTTTGTTCTCTTAGTTTTATAACTAACATTTATGATTGTGATAAAAAGATATGTAGCCAAACATTTGCCAGTTTTCCCACATACAGTTCAAGTGGCCTTGATTATGTTCACTATGCTGTGCATGTAACTAGGTGTCATTTCCAAATGATTCCAGTGCCCTTCACATAATAAAAGCAATGACTCCCTCCCCCATCCCCAACAGCCACTAATAAGCTAGAGTTTCTGTCCCTTTCATATTATTATTTAGCCCTTTTTTATCTGCTTTCTTTCGTTCAGTTCATCAGTTCAAGGGTCGTCCATGTGTGTATCAGGACTTCACTTCTCTTTGTGGCCCAGTAATAATCCATTGTGTCCATAGATTGTGTATTGTTTTGTCACACATCTGTCTAAATGTTGGTCAACTTTTGGATTGTTTCCAAAAACTTATTTTAACAACTGTTTGGTGGGGTTTTTTTTGGGGGGGGGTGTGGGCAGGGAGGAAATGTGCAACAATGAATGAATGGAAATCTGAGTTCTCTATAAACTTTCAAAAATAGATATGAAAAAACCCTACTTCCAATATAAAAAGAATAGTTTTTAATAGAATACCTACTTCTAACTTGTGATAATAGGCGTATGCTGAGAAGTCCTCGGGTCTGCTGTACCTATGTGCCTGCTTCAGGCAGCCCAGGGAGAATGAGAGGAGCCTTAGTTCACAAGGAAGGCGGAGTTCTGTGGCACTGGGGTGCTGCAGTTTCAGCCAAATTCTATATCACATGTTCTCCTAATCAAGCTTCATGACTTTCAGAGTCCTTTTCGGCTCTGCAGGTGGCCCGGGAAAGAAATCAATAAGTAGATGAAGGATCCAGTAGGAATCCCAGACAGCAAACAACAATTTAAAAATTGCTGTCGAGTTGATTTCACTCATGGCAACCCCACGTGTCTCACAGTATAAATAGGCTCCGTTCTGTGGTTGCTTTTCCGAAAGATCACTGGGCCTGTACTCTGACCTCCAGCCTCTCGCTTAGCAGCCAAGTAAGTTAAGCACTCGTAATATCCAGGTTCTCCGGCAAGAAGCACTGAGGGCAGAGCGCCTTGGATGAAATGCCATCAATGGGCTCAAGTGGATTTCCTGCTGCCACCAAAGGCCAAATGAGCATTTCGCTTTTGCAGTCGGGAGAGGCTGGCTTTCTCTTTTAAAATGGTAATATGTGTAGGCAGGCACCACAACAGCAGCAATTTCTGGGTCAAGCATGACCCTAGACACACTTATCATCATCCAAAATTGTTAACAATGGGATAAGGCAGCTAACAAGTAGTAGTTAAGTCAGAAATGAATTCCATGGGCAGAGACTGACGAATTCAAGCCTCTGACCTTTCGATTAGCTGCGCAAGATGTAATATGCTATACCACCAGAGCTACTGATTTCTGAAAGTGATTATTTTTAAAAAAAAAAAGAAACCCTTCTCTTTTTCTAGAAAAGGTTCACACTAGTAATTAAATAAAGGACATACTCACCACGTGGCCCCCCAGCAGCCATGATCTGGGATAACAACTCCCATGGTCCAAAGAAAGATTCTCACCACTGGACCAATTGGCAGCATCAGGATGGATGGTGAAGAGATTGAGATTATTCACAGCCTTAGTTTGCATGGCTCCACAGTCAACAGTCTTGGCACCAGTAGCCAGGAAATTAAAACATATTGCAATGGGAAAGTCTGCTGTTAGGGACCTCTCCAAAGTACTGAAGAGCAATGGTGTCTCTCTGGAGACTAAGGTGCATTTGATACAGGCCATGGTCTTCACAATCACTTATTATGCATCAGAGAGTTGGACAATGACCAAGGAGGATAGAAGGAGAATTGATGCCTTTGAGCTGTGGTGCTGGAGAAGAGTATTGAGAATACCATGGACTGCTAGGAAAACAAATAGATTTGTCCTGGAAAGGATTAAACCGGGTGGCTCCTTGGAGGCAAGGATTCTGAGGCTCCTTCTAACATACTTTGGACATGTTGTGAGGAGAGACTGGTCCTTAGAGAGGGACATCATGCTTGGGAGGGTGGAGGGACGGCGCAGGAGAGGAAGGCCTTCTATGAGGTGGATTGATTCAGTGACTGGGATACTCGGGATGGGAGTGTCAGAGACAGTGCGATTGGCACAGGACAGAGCAGAGTTTAGGGCTGTTGTACATAGGGTCGCTATGAGTCGCAAGCGACTCGACGGCACATAACAACAACAACAATCCCTAGCAACTGCCAGGTTCTCCAGCCTCAGAGGATGATTTGAGCTTTCTGCTCACCAAGGCAGGCACGATGGGAATGCTGAGATGGCATGGCAAGTGAATTCAACAGTAAGCGGATCCTTCTTCCAAAACCATCGATTGCCATCCAAACTTCCAGAAAAATGTCAGGGTCCAAACTGAGAAACCCCCTCTGCCCTTCCTCTCCCAAAGCCACGAACAAATCGAAAACAATCTTATAGCTACTAGTTGCTCAAGCTGGGATTGCTTATGAAAAGAATCCTAACCTCTTTTCTTCCTTGCTAGAGATAAGAAGGGAGCAGTCAAGCATTACCATGTGCACACGAATGCAGAGAACAAACTGTACCTGGCGGAAAACTACTGTTTTGATTCCATTCCAGAGCTCATTCACTATCATCAACACAATTCAGCAGGTAATTGATAGCAGGTTTTCTTTACTGAGTCCTTGTCGATACCCATTGCCTTGTATGCAGTATCCTTGTATATTACCTAATAGCCTTAATTATATAGCTGAAAGCAAGAGAGAAATTGTTTTCAAGCACTCTGCCTGCTGGGGTTTTTAGCTCCCATTTCCTGGAAATTCAACATTGTTGACTATACGCTGGCAGAAAGTAAAGTTGAGTGACTAAGAAGCAGAGATGGTGTTTTGAAAAATATTGAAAATAACTTTTCTCTCTGTTCTAGAAGTAAGCTGATTGTCAAATTCAAGCAATTTAGAGATGTAAATTTGTTGTTGTTGTTGTTATGTGCCATCAAGTCGCCTGTGACTCATAGTGGCAGGCTCTGAACCCTGCTCCATCCTGTGCCTTATTGTCTCTGACACATCCACCCCATTCAAATTCAAACAATTTAGAGACGTAAATTAGTAGGGGGGGCGGGAATCTAGCATAACAGACAACAAATTGTCCATGGATTTTCTATCCTGGTGCTAGGATTTGCTAATCTCTGTGTGCCTGTGTTAATTTTTACTTCTGTTCATTATAACGCCATCATTGTGCATATACTGTTCGTCAGCTTCCTTTCCTTACTCAGTATGTCTTTAAGATCTTTCTGTACAAATACATCTAGCGTAAAACTCGTTTCCATTGAGTCGCTTCCCACTCATGTGACCCCGTTTGTGTCAGAGCAGAACTGGGCTACAGAGGGTTGTTCAATGGCTCATTTTCCAGAAGTAGACCACCAGGCCTTTCCTCTGCGGTGCTTCTGGGTGTACTCAAATCTCCAACATCCTTTTAGTTAGTAGCTGACTACATTGATCTTATATATTACCCACGGACTCCAGAGTTTACATTGATATCTCCAAAAACAGAATGATCAAAACCAGAGAATATAGGGAGCTCTGGTGGCCTAGTGGTAAGGAGCTGCAACTACAATCCCAGAGGCACACGTTTCGAAGCCACCAGATGCTCTGCCGGGGAAAGAGGGACAATCTCCTCCTGTACCAGCCAGATCTGATTTGACGGTACACTCACACAAAAATAATAAAGTAAAATAAAATTTGTTTTAAAAAAATTAAAAAAAACCAAACAAACCAGAGAATATATAAGAAATGGAGAGCGTATGATACCTTTTCCCAGGGACTGACCCTTGATAACTTTTTGCCATGCACATTTGTTATTGCAATTACATGTGTGGTGTTATTAAGTGCCATAGAGTCATAGATAACCCATAGCAACCCTATTAATGAAAGTCTTAAACACAAAACTTTCATCTTTTCTTCAAGTTCATAGGGTTTTAGGAGGCAAGATTTTTTTGGAAGTTGATTCCACTCCTGTTTCCAAGCCTGTTTTATTTGGGATATTCACAAAAAGTAGGCCCAGGGGCCACTAGCTTGAAGGCCCAAAAGCCTTTTTAAATACAAGGCCAAATCCAATCAGCTCATGCCCTAATGAGAGCAATAGCCACACCCTTGTCTCAGCCCCAAACAAGAAAACACACCTTTGCAGAATCTGGCACATACACATATTTATTGGAGAAAAAGAACTTGCCAACCTACTTCCAAAATATCAGCCATTGAAAGTTTTAGGGTGCTCAGTCCAACTCTGTCACTATCGTGCCTGGGGTCACTAAATCCACTGACAGCAACTGGTTATATGCACTTACATATAAAACTGTAAGGAGAAAGTAAAACTAAAAATGGGGAACATTTTTAAATACAATAGTCCACCAAGCATCTGATTTCCCCCCTTTTTAAAATATCACATGAAATTGTTTTAACTCTTTGAACCTCTGCTTTCCATTAAGCTAACTTGTCAATTCAGGCAAATGAATCCATGATGAACGTGGTCGTAATGGACCCCTCTCTCTGTATCAGAATGTCCTGAACTCTGATTCTCCAGCTGCTCTGGAGAGGACTTAAGCAAGGGTGTAAGCTGTCGGGATGGGACAAGATGGAATGGGGTGGGTGGGATTTGATCTGCCAGGACGTGATGGGATGGGACCAAGTGGAATGGGCTGATGTGTGATGGAGTGTAATGAGATGATGCTGCTTCCACCGCAGGCATGATCACCCGTCTCCGTCACCCTGTGTCAACCAAGGCCAACAAGGTCCCCGACTCTGCATCCCTGGGAAGTGGTATGGACACACCTTTGGGTTCTTAAATTGCACGTCCCGCCATTTTGTTGTTAAAAAAAACAAAACTGTGGTCAATTTACTCGAAAAGAAGACGAGAAAGCAGTTTCTATTCAAGTTGCGTCAAGACAGGCTGTTTAGCTCTAACCCATTTATTTCTTTTCTTTAAAACCAAAAAAAGTTGTACCCTCTACCTAATCAATAGCTGTAATCTCTCCGACCTGGCAAAAGATATTATAAGGTTAGTCTTACTCGCTGCCTCCAGTATCGCCCTGCTCATGCTCTCTGGGTCCACTGGCCTGGCCCACTCAGGAACCAGTCTCTCTGTCCTATGGGTATCCAAGGAGCCCAGTGGCATGGTGATTAAGTTCTCAATTGTGAACTGAAAAGTCAGCAGTTCAAACATGCCAGCTACACTATGGGCAAAAGATGAGCTAGTCTGTTTCCATGAATGGCAGCCTTGGAAACCCGATGGGGCAGTTCTACTTTGTCCTTCAGGGTCGCTGTGCATCAGAAACGACTGGACGGCAGTGGAGTTGACTTGGTCGGGACATCAAATACACAGACACTAAGTCTCTCCCAGATGTCTCTGGTCTGATCTGTAGTGTTTTCACCTTGGGCCCCTTTGGCATGAATTGTGCCTTGAGAACCACATTGTGTGGGGTGATGTTAGCCACGTAATTTCTGGGTGAATTGCCAGTCTGCTGCTCTTGTGCTAACAGATACCTGCCTTGCTTTATTAGGAATCTGGGAACTTAAAAGAGAGGAGATCACCCTGTTGAAGGAGCTGGGGAGTGGTCAGTTTGGAGTGGTCCAGCTGGGCAAGTGGAAGGAGAAGTACGACATTGCTGTCAAGATGATCAAGGAAGGCTCCATGTCAGAAGATGAATTCTTCCAGGAGGCCCAGACCATGATGTGAGTTTTTTTCTGCGGGGTGGAAGCTTAGCCCTTTCTGTAAGACGGCAATGCCCCCGGGTGGCCCCGTTTACCCTTGACCAAAAGGTTGGCTGTCTGAACTCAATCAAGAAAACCCTGTGGATGGAACTCTGTGTAGCACATGAGGTCAGAATTGACTCAGTGGCAACAAGTTGGCTGGTTGGTTTGTGTGTTTGTTTTCATGGGACGATATTAACACTAATGGGATGTTTATAAGGCCTGGAACCAATGCCCATGTATATATGAATATTTACTCTTTGTAATTTGGGCTCTTTAACTTCCTGATTTCTTCCCTTTGATTTGGCTTCTTGTGCAATATTCAGAGTCTCCTCTGACATCCATTGTTGTCTTTTCTTCTTCTTCTGTCTTTGTAATGACCTTTTTTCATTCTTTGTGGATGATACTCCCACAGCTCATCTGGTCTTCGTTCATCAGTGTTCAATGCAAAACCTATACTCAGAGCAGAGCAGGGAAACACTGCATGGTTGAAAATCAGGAAGGGAATGTGTCAGGGATGTATTCTGTCGCCATACCTTTTCAATCTATATGTAGAACAGATCATTTGAGAGGCTGGGCTTTATGGGGAGGAATGTGGCATCAGGATTGGAGGAAGACTCATCCACAACATGCTTTATGCAGATGACACAACACTGCTTGCAGAAACTGAGGCAGACCTGAAGCGCTTTTTGTATAAGGTTAAGGACTATAGTCTTCAATATGGATTGAACCTCAACAACAACAAGAAGAAAAAGATTCTTCTCACCATTGAGCCAATTGGCAGCACTGTGTTGGATGGAAAAGAGACTGAGGTGGCTAACAGCTTGCTCGGCTCCACAGTCAACACTCTTGGCAACTGCAATCAGGAAATCAAAAGACAAATTGCATTAGGTAAATCTCCTGTCAGGGACCTCTCAGAGTACTGAGAAGTAATGATGTCAGTCTAGAGACTAAGGTGCACCTGATCCAGGCCATGGTCTTTACTGGACTGTGACTAAGGATGGCAGAAAAGAATTAATGCCTTTGAGTTGTGGTGCCAGAGAAGAGTTTTGAACATACCATGGACTGCCAAGAAAACAAACAGGTCTGTTTTGGAGAGGGTGAAACCAAGTTTCTCTTTGGAGGCTAGGATTTTGAAGCTCTGTCTCACATACTTTGGGTATGTGGCCAGGAGAAACCAGTCCTTGGAGAAGGATATCATTGCTCAGAAGGGTGAATGGACAGTGCAGGAGAGTAAGACCCCGGATGACATGGATAAATACAATAACTAGGGCACTGGGGGGAGATGTGTTGGTGTCATTGAGACTGGTTCTGGACAGGACAGGCTTCAGAGCTCTTGTACATAGGGTCACTGTGAGTCGCAGGCAACTCAACAGCACATAACAAGAAGTTTTCAAGAAAACTGGTACTGTGCTACTACTATGGCCAATGTACCTTCAAAACAACCTGAAATGCCTTATTGGGAATTAGAATTCCCAAGAGTCTTTAGAGGCACTAGCCTCTGGTCTGCGTCCTCAGAACCTGGTCTACAGGGCCTCCTCACACCCCCAGTTGCACTCAGCATGTAGATGTGTACTTGTACGTGGACACTGCATCCAATATACCCAAGCCTCCTCTTCCTCCTCCCCCAAAACAACCCTCCCTCCATCTACTCATTACCCATCTTGGCTAGGGGTGGGTGTACTTGGCCACCCTTGGGGGGATAGACCCAGGGGAAAGTCCTGGAGAGGCTCTGAAACATATGGGCAAGGGGCCCCAGATTCTTGGCACTCCAATGGTGGTCAAAAAGGGGATCTGTGGATTTTGAGGGGCCCCCGTGTAGTGAGGGGAGGTGTATAGTCGGATGAGGGATGAGTGTCGTTGTTAGGTACTATTGAGTTGGAAAGGATCCATAGCTGAGCCTCCAATGGATTTTCAGAGGCAGTATATCGACCGGGAGGAGATTTCCTATCTCCCTCCTGCAGAGCATCTGGTGGATTCAAACCGTGTGCCTTTGGGTTAACAGCCCAACTCCTTACCACTAAGCCACCAGAGGTCCCTAGAGATGAATCATGTCTTGCAAAGAATTAGGACAGAAGAATCTGGAAGAAAATTCCTTAGGCTCACGGTGTAGCTTCTATGTCCTAAGGTAACATTTAAACTTATTTTGTCACCAAAAAGCCCAAACCAGTTGCCATTAAGTCACTGCTGACTCAAGATGACCCAATGTGTTTCAGAGGAGAACTGCTTCATGGAGTTTTCAAAGCTGTGACCTTTCAGAAGCAGATTACCAGGCCTTTCTTCTGAGGCACCTGTTAGCAAGTTCAAGCAGCTAATCTTTCAGAAAATAGTCAAGGCAAACCATTTGCACTACCCAGGGCTAAGGAGCTGAGTGGTATAGTATTTAATGCGTTGCACTGCTCATCAAAAGGCCAGCAGTTTGATTCCACTAGCTGCTCCAAGGAAGGAAGATTTGTAGTCTCCTCCCATTATGAAGTATGGTTTCGAAAACCCAATGGAAGGTCAGCTATGACTCAGGACAGTGGGTTGGGTTTGGAGATAGTGAGTGCTAAGCTTCCACTCCTAGACTACTCCAAGTAGACTGGGGAATTGATCACCAACAAAAATCTGAAAGTGCTTCATTCCTTCTGAACATCTGGAAAATAGAGTGATGCAAACTCAGTACTGACCTCTGGAAAAATCTCTTGTTTCTAGGAAACTAAGCCACCCCAAGCTGGTTAAATTCTATGGAGTGTGTTCAAAGAAATACCCCATATATATAGTGACAGAATATATCACCAATGGCTGCTTGCTTGATTACCTGAAGAACCATGGGAAGGGACTCGAACCCTGGCAACTCTTGGAGATGTGCTATGACGTCTGTGAAGGCATGGCCTTCCTGGAGCGCCATCAGTTCATCCACCGGGACTTGGTAAGCAGTGCCCAAGGGAGCTCCCAGACTAGAAGCAAGCAGCCCCTGGCTCCCACCTCCAAGGCTGGGGTCACTGGAAGAGAGGGCGAAGGGGCAGCTTTACTTTCTTTTCCTTTTATCTTCTGTGATACTTTTGTGATAAATTCCCCAGTTTTACATGAAAACCTGTTAAGTACGGAAAAGCAAAGAACCAAAAGCAGTGGCGGGAACAAATGAAAAGTGAAGACTCTGGCCACTAAGTGTTTGGTTTCTTGGAAGCTGTAAATCCAAGCTGACTTATACTCCCAGAAGGGTTTATTGTGCAAGCCACTTGCTATCGTAACTGAAAATACAAAAGCTAAGAGGAAACATAATTTGTATGCATCTCTGGGGTCAGGACAGAAGGGGGAGCACTCTGATTGGTCTCCACTAGGATTTCTCAGTAGAGTATTTCTTGGACTGAATTGCAAACCCGTCAGGCACAGAAGGCCAAGGAATCCCAGAATTCCCAGGTATGATGTTTCTGCCTGAAATGCGAGAGTTTCAAGAGATGGGAAATGGCTGGGCCTCATTTCTCAGTACATCTGTTAAAGAGAGGCAGTGTAGGGATGCAGAGCCAAGCCTTAGAAAGGCTTCCTCCTTCCTCCTGATTAACAGAGGCCAATTGCATATGGACCACCTCATTGGGTAAGGATGGGGATTTGGGGGCGAGGATATCTAGGAGTAATGTCTGTTTTGAAAAGTTGTGAATTATCAAGGAAAGTTAGACAATTCTGGAGTGACAGGCGATCAGATTTTGTGAAGCGTTCTGTAGAAGTTAAAAAGATCTGATTTCTGGGTTTAATACTTGGTGGTTTTTTTCCCTCCTCAAGGCTGCCCGAAACTGCCTGGTGGACAGCGATCTCTCAGTGAAAGTGTCTGATTTCGGGATGACAAGGTAAGCCGACTCCACTGAGGTGGTTAGTCAAAGGGGGGGGGGGTTTGTCATCTTCCTCTTTTTTGTTGACCCTCTAGTTTACATCATCATATCCTTCTCTTGCAACTTCGTCCTCATAACATGTTCAAAGTTGGCAGCCTTACCTCCAAGGATCATTCTGGCTGGACATCATCCAGGATGGATTTGTTTATTCTCTTGGTAGTCCATGATTTAGTCAATACTCTTCACCAACACCACAGTTCGCATAAATAGACTTAAATGCTCTCGGATTTCCACTCTTCTCAATATTATCTGTTGTCGACCGAGGGTCAAGTATTAATAAATGAGACAGAACACCTAGAATGTATAAGTAGACAGAAGTAAAGCAGGGGCGAGCAGTTCAAACAGCTGAAGCACTGAACCCAGCTTCCCTATGCTTTTATTGAAAATTGCCACAGAGCAAATCACAAAGAGAATTCTTTGCAAATAAAACTAAGCTCTTTCTATTAAAAACCTTATGCTTGACTCAGGAGGGAGGGGTTAGCAAATACAAATACAAGAATTGTGTAAACACTTAAGGTCTGCCTTAGCGCCTACCCTTGTGACATCTAAGTTCTGCCTTGGTGCTTCAGAGTGAATTCGAGCTTGTATCCACGCCTTCCTTGTATCCTGATATAGCATTTAGTTTATTATAAATATTTAGTATGCAATTTGGCTTCCCACAATTACCCATAATTTGTTATGATCCACACAAATACTTTTTGCATAATCAATAAAACAAAAGTAGCCATCTTTCTAGTATTCTCTGCTTTCAACCAAGACCCATCTAACACCAGAAAAGATCTCTCTTCACCAGAACCTCTTCTGAATCCAGCTAGAATTTCTGGCAGTTCTCTGTCAATGTACTTACTGTTCCAACCATTTTTAAACAATCTTCAGCAAGATTTTATTTGCATGTGATAGTATGGATGTTGTTGTTGACTGCTGTCGAGTCAAGCTTGACTCATAGCAACCCTATGAACAAAAGTCCTGAAGCCTTTCTGTAACTACCATCATTTCTCAGAATTCATAGTTTCCAGAGACATGTTGTTTAGGAAGTGGATGCCACTCCTGTTTCCAAGATATTATTATTCTACATTATTATTATTAATATTATTCCACATTATTAACATTCCATTTATTATTCCAATAAGTTGACCAGGTTCCAAATTTCTGAGCATAGGCTAATGAGTACATCCTGGGCTGCATCTTTTAATTGAAACATGTTAATTGGTATTCCATCAACTCCTGGGGCATTATTTTTTGCCAATGCCTTCACTACAGCTTGAACTTCTCCCTTCAGCAGTGTTGGTTCTTGGTCATATGCTACTTCCTGACATGGTTCCATATTGACCAATTCTTTCTGGTACAGTGACTTTATATTCTTCCCATCTACTTTTGAGGCTTCCTGCATCTGTGCCCAGAGAATCTTTCAGTTTTGCCACTTGAGGATTGAATTTGTTCTTAAGTTCTTTCAGCTTGAAAGCATCCTTTTTGGCTTTCTAATTCCAAGTCTTTGCACATTTTGTTTTACCACTTTGCTTCATTTTCTCAAGCTGCCAATTGAAATATTCTGCTCATCTCTCTTACTTCAGCTTTTCTTTCCTTTGTTTTGAGATCTCAACATTCTGCTGCTAGTTCCAGAATCTCTTCTAATATTCATTTAGGTGTTTTCTTTCTCCCCTTTGTGATGACCTTTTGCTCTCTTCATGTCATCTCACAACCCATTTGGTCTTTGGTCTTGGTTTTCAATGCATCGAATCTATTCTTGAGTTTGTTTCTGAATTCAGGTGGAATAGGCTCATTTCTGTCACCAAGGATCATTCTGTCTGTACTTCACTGAACACAGATTTAACCATTGCAAATACATTAAAAAAAACCAAACAAAAAAACCCTGTAAATATATGGTCCATTCTCCCTGTGTTCAAACCCACCAGCTGCTCAAAGGGAGAGAGATGAGACATCTGTTCTGTAAAGATTTACAGCCTTGAAAACCCTGCTTGTTCTTTGTTGTTTAGAATAGCAGATGATGAGAAGCGGTTTATATGGTTGAAAGAGTGCTGTTATTATTCTATAAGAAGGAATGGTATTCAGTCATTGCACATTTAGTTACATAAGAAAATCTAACCATGTGGGAGAATGTTCATGATATGCCATTGAATGAAAGATAGAAGCAGCTCTCAAAACAAATCCATTTTGTTCAAATTAACCAGTTGCTACTGAGCAGACTTGCTCCTGGCAATCCCACATACATCCAGGTAAAACTGCGCTTCAGACAGTTTTGGCTGACATCACCGCACAATGCAGACTGCTCCACCAGAACTCCTCATCAAGCTTTTGGATAGCTGTGACCAACCAGAATTCGATGGCCAGGCCATTCTTCTAAGTCACTTTTTTTTAGTGTCTTAACTGTTTGCACCATCATAAGACTCCGTGTGTTTATGGAGGGGAGGGGAATGATAGAGTATTAAGCAAAAATGTATCTCAAATGGTACAGATTATCTTTAGGGTGGGATTCAGGGTGGGGGCTTGTGTTTTTCTTTTGCTTTTTGTGGGGTTTTTAGTATTCTGTAGTCACCATTTTTTGAATCCAGATTCTGCTATCTTCCAAATTAAATTGTTATTGTTGAGTCCCTTCGAGTTAAGCCCAACTCATAGCGACCCTATGAACAAAAGGCTTGAAGCCTCTCTAAAACTATCAATATTTATCAAAGTTCATAGAGTTTCCAGAGGCATGTTATTAATGCTTTCATGACATAATCAGCCTCTCACTAAGCTCACACGAAGCAAAAGGTCCAGAAAGAAGATGGAGGCATCCAGCTGAAAATCTGATGGCTCCTTGCCCTTCATAAGTCTGTGTTGCCGCCGTTTTGTTCCACCATTTTACTCTACCATGTGGTTTAAGACTGATCTGTGTTTTTGCTTCCCCTGCAGATATGTTCTTGATGACCAGTATGTCAGCTCTGTCGGAACAAAGTTCCCCGTCAAGTGGTCAGCCCCAGAGGTGTTTCACTACTTCAAATACAGCAGCAAGTCTGATGTGTGGGCATTTGGTAAGTGTGTGACCACACAGAACTGTTTCTTAAGCTACCTTCCACAACAGGAAGCCACAGGGCAGCAACACCCATTTTTAAAAGGCCCTTAAGCACTTACAAAATCCCATGGATGGCCTGAGACAGGCAAGAGGTGGAAGACAATCATTTCCCCCTTTGGCCCTGTGTTAGGGTGTCTGCCACACAACAGCAATGCACATCCTGCTAACTCCTCAGAAAGTCAAAGGAGATAAGTGTTTTTCCACTGAAGATCTTAAAAAAAAGAATTTTGGGAAACTACAGCAGAGTTGGCACGAAATTCAGAAGTAAAAGGGGTGAACGTAAGCCTGTTTTTTCTGCACCAGGATGGTCATAACAATGATTCACTTGAGTGGGTGATTTTTTTTTTTTGGCTCCTGCCTATTGCAATGACTCTCCTTGCTAAAATGAATATTTTAGATCAGCAACTGGCAGAAAACGGCCCAAGGACCCACATCTGGTAGTTGTTTCTGTGAATAAAGTTCTCTTGGCACACAGCCATGTTCACTCATTGACAGATTGTCTCTGGCTACTTTTGTGTTGCAGCAGCAGAGCCCAGTAGTGGTGACACGGGTCACATGGCCTGCAAAGGCGAAAATATGCACTGGTGTATCCACGCCGTTAGAGGAGAAGCTTGCTAGCCCTAATTTAATGAAAATATCCATATTGACATTTTAAAGATAATTAGCAGTTAGATAACGACTTTAAAATTATAACTCTGTAGACTTAGATACTTTTTTCACTCTTATGAGGAATACCAAAGTGGTTTTCAATCCTTGTCAGGTTGACCTAACATAAAGATTCCAAATTATCATAAGGTTACAGACTGTATTAGATACAACTGAGATCTGTTTGGTGTCTGTCTTAGTTTAGAAGCAGATTTTGCCTCTTGGGCACCTATAAGACTGTCTGACAAAAAGGAGAATTTAGTCATTTCTTTTCCTATATGACACAATCTTTTACAAAGCAATTCCTCTTGAAAAAGTGGCATTACTCATGTAAAGAAAGTTTTTCTGTGTATTGTTTTAGCTTTGATTCGACAACAGTGAACTTGATTTTGTTTTTGGGTATACAGAAAAAGAAAAGAAAAATAAATCACAAGATAGTATTTCAGTGAATACTTGATGTCATTTCATGCTGCTTAATTTTTTGCAACTTACTGTCAAAATTAGATCCAGTCTCTTCATATCAACTGAGATGTCTTATGAAATGTTATTTTAAAATATGTGAGTCTCTTAATGGAATAGTTACAGTTAGTTTTCAACCACTCCATTAATCTCACAGTATGCAGTTTGCTACTATGTGCATCAGAACTTGACTCTAGATGTTGTTGTTGTTGTTATGTGCCGTCGAGTCACTTGCGACTCATAGCGACCCTATGTACAACAGCCCTAAACCCTGCTCTATCCTGTGCCAATTGCACTGCCTCTGACACACCCATCCTGATTACCCCAGTCACTGAATCAATCCACCTCATAGAGGGTCTTCCCCTCCTGTGCCTCCATCCACCCCCCCTCAAGCATGATGTCCCTCTCCAAGGACCTCTCCCTCCTTACAAAATGTCCAAAGTATGTCAGACGAAGCCCCAGAATCCTTGCCTCCAAGGAGCAGCCTGGTTTAACCCTCTCTAGGATGAATCTGTTTTCTTGGCAGTCCGTGGTACATTCAATACTCTTCTCCAGCACCACAGCTCAAAGGCATCAATTCTCCTTCTATCCTCCCTAGTTATTGTCCAACTCTCTGATGCATAACAAGTGATTGCAAAGACCATAGCCTGTATCAGGCGCACCTTAGTCTCCAGAGTGACACCATTGCTATTCAGGACCCTGGAGAGGTCCCTAACAGCAGGCTTTCCCATCGCATGCAATACTTTTTTTTTTTTAAATTTCCTGGCTGCTGGTGCCAAGACTGTTGACCGTGGAGCCAAGCAGACTAAAGTTGTTAACAATCTCAGTCTCTTCACCATCCATCCTGATACCGCGAATTGGTCCAGTGGTGAGAATCTTTGTCTTCTTGACATTGAGCTTCAATCCATACTGAAGGCTGCAGTGCTTGACCCTCTGCAGCAAGCATTTCAGGTCCTCCTCAGTTTCAGCAAGCAAGGTTGTGTCATCTGCATAACGCAGACTGTTAATAGATCTCCCACCAATCCTGACGCCTCAATTCTCCTCATAGTCTTTAAAAATTAAATCCTTTCTTAAATCAGGTGTCCCTGTGGAAGAACGGCAAATGAACTCAAGTTTCTAAAAACACCTCCCAAAGAGAAGACTTGCGGGTGTTTTGAGGTGGCAACATCCTTGTGGTTGATTTGCTTTTGCTGTTGACTTGTGATTTCAGAGACCCCACGTCTTAGAGTAGCTCTATGCTCCGGAGGGTTTTCTTGCCTATGATCTTGACACGAGCAGGTTGCCAGGCCTATTTCTCCCGACCTGCCACTGGATGTGTTCAGATAGCCAAATTTCTTTTGGTCACCCAGCCAAGCACAAACCCTTTGCACCTTCTGCCTTATAATATCCTTGAGAAAAGTGTGCAGGCCAGGACTCGGTTTCTTAGCCTGGGTCAAGATGCCTTGGATCAACTTTGGAGGGCTGTGAATACCCTTAAAACAGACACAACGTTGCTGTCTGCTCACATTCCTGAGGGGAAGGCTTTTAGCCAATTCTCCAAAGGACTTGTGTCCCTACAGAAGATTCTGCATGACAAGGCAGCAACAAATGTTGTCAATGATTTTATCTTTACATTTTCACTGAATGGCAATTTCATTGTGCAATAAAATCATTGTATACAACTATGGAGGGAGAGCAGAAGAAAGGGCTGGAGTTCAGTAACTCAGTTGTAAGGCCTGGGGAGATGTGTCATCAGCATGAGGCTGAACCAGGCACCAGTCCCTCCTGAAGGCACCCCAGACGCTGTCCTGGCCTTTTAACCTGCAGGAAGACTGAGGCTCCAGGAGCAATGATGGCTCAGGACTTCCTCGGGCCTGCCCTGTTTACAGAGGATCGTTTCTGGGGAAGCCCTCCCTCTGGGGAGCCTTCTCTATGTGGTGTGAGAGGCACAACCCGCAAACTCCCACACCATCTGACGTGGCCTTCTGTCCATCTTGTCCTTCCATGCAGGCATCCTTATGTGGGAGGTGTTTAGCCTGGGCAAGCAGCCCTACGACTTGTATGACAACTCCCAGGTGGTCGTCAAGGTCTCCCAGGGCTACCGGCTCTACCGGCCCCAGCTGGCATCAGACACCGTCTACCAGATCATGTACAGCTGCTGGCACGAGGCAAGTGTGTGCGCTGCCGGCCAGGGGGCAGGAGGGGTCTACGTGTATCCTCAGCGGGGCAAAGCTTTATGGCACGGTCAGTGGCTTTTGCCACAAAGTGGGTGGGAATGGCCCTCAGGCTCGGCCCTCAAGTCTTTTAGCCTGAAACAAGCAATGCAGCTGGCATTTTTAACAGATTTTGTCTCATTGTTGTTGAGCCCTGTCAAGTTGATTCTCACTCTCAGCGATGCCATGTGACAGAAGAGAATTGTCCCAAAGGGTTTTCTAGGTCTACTCTTTACAGGAGCAGATTCGCCACGTCTTCCTCCTGCCGAGCACCTGGGTGGCTTTGGGCCACTAATCTTTCTGTTAACAATCAGCACCTAACTGCTGTGTCACTAAGGCTTCTCAACCTGGCCTTAGAAGTTAAGAAATATTAACTCACTGGTTCCTCAGCACACATGCTAATGCTATTTGCTAGTATCGTCACTAAAATTTACCCAAGGGAAAACAGAAGCTTAGCAAGACCGAGGGATTTGCCCAAGGCCATACAAGCTAGTAAGAGGCGGGGCTGAGATTCGAACACTGGCTGCCTTTGTGGGGAACCACTATTCATTCCTAACCACAATGCCATGAAGCCTCTCCTCAAGTAGAAAATGTGTAACCATGTGAGACCACTGAAACACTTGTAGAACTCACAGAATGGAGACTATCGAGTCCTTCCAAGTCGCCCCATTTCACCTAAACACTGAGGGGAAACATCAGAGGATTGGGTCTGTGGGGGAGACCAGGGGCTGAAATTGCAGGAGATTCACAGGCAAAGCCTCTACTTTATTGGTAATACTAACAGGGAATGTTCAAGACAAATGATGTCCCTTCTCTGACCTCCCTGAATTCAGTCTCCATAGGCACATACGTGCACACAAATGCAAACAGCAGGCCGCTTTGAATCATGTACTCACTCACACAAGACACGTAGACCAGTGCTAAAGAGTCCCATATTCCAGAATGCACTGGGGTCTGAGCAGGATCTGGAATCTCTGGGGAAGACCCCAGGGTTGTGCGTGCAGTACCAGTATACAGATTGTGGTAGAACCATCTATTAAGTCCCAGAAATGAGATACTACCTTAATGGCCCTAATATACCACCCCAGCGCTATGCTAGATTTCCAGGTGTATGTGGCTTTAGTTCCAGACTCTCTCTTCGGTTCTTTGTTCTGTCTTTTTCTGTGCTGGCGCCACACTATTGTGTTTTTTGTTTTCATTGTTATGGACATTGTGACCTCAAGTACAATATAAGGATCATTGGCACGTTCAAGTGCAATCAGACAATATTCCGTTCTGACCTAGAGGGTTTTCTTCTGTTCGTTTATGGAAGTTGATTGCTGGCCCTCTCTTCTGCGTGTGGAAACAGTGTTCAACTACTCGTAGTGTAGCTTCTGGCATCACAGTAACACTGCACGACAGACTGACAGTTTGTCAGTTTTAATCACAGACACTTTAACCTTAGGTAAGTGAGCCCCCCCACCATTAGCTCATCTATATAGTTTTTCTAGCTATTTTTGGATGGTTTTTGAGGGCCATGAACCAAAGAATCAATTTGTTGGGCTTGCAACAAATTTGTTCATGTTTTTGAGAGATTGCATGTAGTTTCTTTTTTAAGTTAGGAAATTTGCCACAGTTGTGATGTTGATCTGACCTAGTCTATCGCAGGGGATATTTTCCGACTGTACTCAAGTCTACATTTGTATTTTCAGCAGTTCCTCATTTGGGGGGGTGCTTGATAAGTACTTAATTGTGGTTGTTCCATTTGACTTTCTAGATGGATGTAGATGATCTACAAAGACTTCTGCTTTTGTGTGGGAATTTTAGATCCTCCTGGCCCATTATTGCTTAGGAGAGTTCTATCATTGACTCTCTTGTTTTTCTCAAGTATATATTCCTATCCCTTACAAAGAAAGACACTTTTCCAATTTTGGGGGCTTTGATTATGTAATTAAAACAACACATTCATGGTTTCATTAATCAAAACAACAAAAGTAGAAATTAATTTCTTCTCCAAGTCCTGGGGCTTGGATTGTTTGATTAATTAAACAAATAAGTACTGTCTGATTGCACTGGTCAATGCGTCCAACAAAGAATAATGAAAAGAGTGGGGAGCTAGCATCCTGACCTTGGCCTTGATCTCTCTAGAAAGATCTGGGTTGTTTCCATGCTTGAAAAGGTACTAGTTTCAGGACTGTGGTATAAATATTGAAGGGGTTTTTTTCCCCTTTTAATAATAGTTGTTGTCATTATGTGCCATCGAATTGACTATGTCTCATAGCAACTCCATGAGTCTGAAGCTCGCCCTATCATTCCTACCCCATCCTCACCATCTCTGATTACACTCAAGTCCTCTCTTGTGTAAACCCTCCACTTTCCTAAGCATGAATCATGAACTAACACATGGGATTTTGTTTTGTTTAGCTCCCAGAGAAGCGTCCCACATTCCAGCAGCTTCTATCTTCCTTCGAACCACTTCGGGAGCAGGACAGGCCTTGAAGAAGAGTCGATGAGAACGGTTCTACACATTGACCAACATTTTTATTCTTCTTTGAAAGAAAAGTAGCAAGCTGCAATGTAATATAGCTAGAGATTCTTAGTAGTGTTGCCTGTGCTCTTTGGCTGTTATACGACGTAGATGTAGACGTTAGGCAAAGTGGGAAACAAAAGATTTCCTTGACTTTTCGATCCAACAAGTAACCATGTTTCTGCTGCTCTTGGCCTAAGACTTCTCAGCCTATAGCAGGAGCTGATCTTTTGGTTGCTCTGTGGGGAGGGTGTGGACCATGAGTAAACATTAAAGAGAGTTGGAAAAGGCTTCGTTGCCATCTGTTCTTTATTCTGTCACCGTCATGATGATTAAGTATGTTATAAGCATGTGCAGACATTTACCTTCATGTGTCATTGCTCTCGGATGGCAGTGCTTGCAAGAATCAAGCCAAGGGATGAATGAAGCAGAGATGGTTCCGACCCAGCCCGGAGGCACTGGGAGAGCAGGTCTGAGGGGAGCCAGACAATGGGTTTTCCTTCCTAACAAGCTCCCAGAGAACGCTGATGCTGTCAGCCTGCTCTGTGCTGAGGGACCTCAGGGTGTGGTGGGGCATTCTCCTTGTTGTCAGCAGCCCCCAGCTCGGGCCGACCCCGTGCACGATGAAATGAAACACTGCCTCATGACAGAGCAGATCATTGTGCTTCAGAGCATTTTCAATGGCTCATTTTTGGACATTGATTGCCAGACCTTTCCTCCTAGTCCATCTTAATCTGGAAACTCAGCTGAAACCCATCCTAGCAGCACCCAAGCTTCCATGGACAGATAGGTGGTGGCTGTGTCCAAAGTACACTGGGCAGGAATTGAACCTAAGTCTCTCAGGTAAAAGGTGAGAATTCTACCACTGTACCACCACTGCCTCACGGGGCATTCTTAATTGGCCTATAATTCAAAGTACATTCTTTTCATCTGATATCCAGATGAGAACAATGACTTCTCATCTCATCATGTGCCCTAACATAAAAACAGAAGTTAAACATTGTTAAATGATGTATTAAATATCATTTAGGAAATTTTAAAAGAAGCTAAGTCATGACTTGGTGCCTTTTCCTGAACCCTGACTGTTACCAACTTTGAGTAAACTTTCCCACGGTCATATTTCTGGAATTTAAAGATTGTTGCTGTCTAGTTGGAAATCCTCAATTTCAAATTGAGGCCTGTAGTAGGGCTTCCGGCTGGGTTTCTATTTCCTCTCTCTTGATACTGGTGGCTTGATATTGGCAAGTAATTGTGCTGCAATCCCAAAGGTACACAGTTCAAATCCACCAGCTACTCTGTGGGAGAAAAATGGGCAATCAACTCCCATGTAATTTACTGCCTCTGAAAACCTCCTGGAGGGTCAGTTCCAACTAGACACAACAATAACAACAAAAATCTTGATACAAAGGCCCAGAAGTACTATCTTCACTTCTCCTGGTGATTGCTAGGAAGTACTTCAGCTTTATAACTGTTCCTGGGATTACCCTACTGCTGGACCTATGCATTATTAATATCTTTTGGCATACTTGACTATCTATCCATAGTGTCAAGACAGGGGAGAGAAAGAGTTGTGTGGAGAGCCCAGTGAGCCATTGAGTTGATGCCAGCTCATGGTGACCCTATGTGCTACAGAGTAGACTGCCCTCCAAAGGGTTATTCTTGGCTTATAATCTTTATGGCAGAAGATCGCCAGGCCTTTCTTCCATGGTGCCAATGGATGGGTTTGAAGCAACACACTTTTAATTAGCACCTGAGTGCAAACTCTTTTCATCTCCCCAGGCTTCTTAAAATTGAAGGACACTGCAATTAGGCCTATCTGTCATTTTCCAGGATCTGTTTATGTGATTTCAGATTAGCTTCTGGGGAAGAACCATCTGTAAATGGTAAAAAAAAAAAAAATCTCTAACACCCACTATAGGTCTTCAGTTACTCAAAACACAAAAGAAAATCCAACTCATTGCCATGGAGTCAGAACCTACTCACAGCTGCCCCTCCAGCAGGTTTCTGGAGGCTGTAAATCGTTCCAAAACTGAGGAGATTATCCGTCCTGGTGGATTCGAACACTCAGAGAGGTGCCACCTTGGGGTTAGTGGTGCATCTCCCTGGAGATTCCACCATCAGACCTCCTAGGTCTTCCAATAGGGGAAGATAATTGAGCCATTCTAGTCGTTAGACAAGGAGCTCTCATTTGTCAGGGATAAGTGCTCGGTTGCTAGTCAAAAAGTTGATCATTTGAGCTCACCAACCCCTGCAAAAGAGCAAGATGTAGCAATCTTCTTCCCTAAATATGATAGCCTTGGAGACCTTGTGGGGCCAATGCTATTCTTTGTGATTCATAGTCACTGCCATAAAGGTTGTTATGTGCCATCAAGTTGCCGGTGACTCACAGCTCTGAATCCTGCTCTAGTCTAAGCCACTCTCACTATCTCCAACAAATCACATTGGAGGAAATTGCCCAACCTTCTCCCACGGAGCAGCTGATGGATTTGAACCTGTGATGTTAGGATTGCAGAGCAGCTTCTTACCACTAGGCTGCACAACACATTACAAGCTCCACCACCAGAGCTCTCTTCAGAAGGTGTTGCTGTTGTGTTGTATACCATCAAATCAGAACAGAGCTATAGCTGACCCTTCAGTGAATTTTCACAGGTATTTTAATCACACGGAGTAGATTGCCCATCCTTCTCCCATGGAGCGGCTGGTGGATTTGAACCTGTGACTTGGGATTGCAACACAGCTCCTTACCACTAGGCCACCAGAGGGTGTCAGGAGGTTTACGTGAACTCTTTGTTGGGTTCTGAGAGCACTGGAGCATCTTATGTGAACCTCTGAGCATCAGAGACAAAACTACAAAAGTCTAGCTTTCTCAAAAAACAGGCTCGAGTCTTACCAGAATTGTTTGTCTGGCTAATTTTCTACTTTTTATGTAAAACCACATAATTAAACCACAAAACCATTTGAAAAAGTTGGGCTACATCCGGGACCTTTGGGAGGCCACGGGCCCCACATAACACAAGGACTGTCATCCATGGGGGTGAGAAGCAGCACACAGGGCTGGTGTGGAAAGGTCACGTCTAGTGGAGTTTTGAGGGGTGTCTGCTCACTGCTCAGACCCTGTGGGTGAGCACAAGAGACTGAAGGGATCAGGTGCCCACTTCAGAGGCAGGCCTTCAATTTGAGACCCATGGAAGCCCCTTTGTGGCAGGAGTTCTCTAGGAGGTTTGTGGTTTGTGGGGACCAGTGGTTTGTGGGGACCCCTTGGTGCTCTCAGGTGGGAAGTGAGAAAGTGATGCCCTTTACCTCCTCCCCAGTCTCCTGTCTCCTTTTAGATTCAAAGATGGTGGGCCCCCTAGGCAATCTCTCTGGTCCTTGAGAACACAGTCACCCTTCGCAGGGGGCATAATTAAAGGGGACACTTCTCAATTTCCTTCTTGATTCCCACAGCCTCCCCAGGTTACCAATTCGGTCCTCACAGGCACTGCATCCATATTTCACACGAGGCCACAGGTGCGCCAGCGGTAGAGCTTTTATTTCATTGCAGTGACACAGCATAGTGGTTACATGTCCCTCCCCTCTCCCCCGCCTCTCAGGCAATGTGGAAATAAATACTGAAAGCAGTGGGCGTGAGTGTCCCCGTGAGGAGGCGCTGCATTGGGGGGATGCTGCAGGAACAGGCTGGTAACATCTCCATAATCCTGTGTCCTCTGGTGCCTCGAGCACCCACAGGAAGTGGAAGTGGGGCACACTTGCTAAAATGAGGTCTGCACATCTTCAGGGCTCTGGAAGCTGGGGTTGTTCTCGCCCTTGCTCAAGTCCACCGAGGCGTAAGGGTTTTCCTGGGTGCTCTCCCGGGATCTCCTGTCAGAGAGAGAAGTCACCTTATCAGGGACTAGAGGGACCACTGCCTGTGCCGCACACCACCACCCAGGCCTCTGTGCCATGCCAGGGGCGGGTCACTGGGGGCCTCACCTGCGTGTCACCCTCCTCTCCTTAGACTACAAACCTCTGGGGAGTGAGAATGACACTGGATGCGTTTCCTCGGCCCCTGGCTGCTGGTTAGGGGTGCGGACCCAGGAGACACCTGGAGACTTCACCTCTTCAAGAAATGATGGTGGTTATGTGTGGACCAGGGAAACGAGCTGGTAGGACACCAGAGTGTAGGTTTTCTTGTGGAAGGTTTGTGGCAGCCCCGCATTGAACAAGTCACTTGGCGCCATCTTTCCACCATCTTGCTCTTGCTTTGTGTGCATGTTAACATTTGGGTCATTCTCACTGCGTTTTCAAAGTTTTTTGTTGTGCTTTTGCACACTTACTGTGGTACAGTAGAGTGCACATGTGTTACTTGCGCTGGGGAAAAATGTATTATGCACCAAGGGCTTTGTGTGACTTGATACATCGCAGTGGCCTGGAAGCGAACCACTAACATCTCCAAAGCCATATCCGTTAAACAGTCACCTCTGACTCATGGCGACCCCATATATGCAGAGAACTACACCATAGGAGTTTCAAGGCTTTTAGAAGCAGACTGTACTTTTCATCTGAGGTAAAGCTCGGTGGATGCAAACAGCTGGTTAGGAGCTGAACGCTAATCATGTGTATCACGCGGGGACTCGACCTAGCATAGACACTTCAAGGAATGCTGTTGTTATGTGCCATTGAGACTACTAAGACTCACAGTGATCCTATGAACAACAGCTCTGAACCTTGTCCTGTCCCGAGACAACCTCATTGTCTCTGACACACATTGTCTCAGTTACTACGTCAATCCATCTCTCATCCAGGGTCTTCCTCTCCTTCGCTGATGTTCCACCTTTCCAAGCATGATGTTCTTCTCCAAGGACTGGTCCTTCCTGGTGACATGCCCAAAGTCTATGAGATGGAATTTCCAAATCCTTGCCTCCAAGAAGCAAACTGATTTTGCTCTCTCCAGGACACACCTACTTATTCTCCTCTCAGTTCATGGTCTGTTCAATACTTTTCTCCAACACTGCAACTCAAAGGTTTGTTCACTCTTTATTCACTGTCTAGCTCTCGGATGTATAGCAAGCAACTGAGAAGACCATGGCCTCAATCAGGTGCACCTTAGTCTCTAGACTGACATCGTTGTTCTTTAGCACTCTGGAGAGATCCTTGACAGATTTTCCAATACAGCTTGTCTCCTGGCACTTGACTGCTTGGTAAAAAGAGCTATGATTGTGGATCCAAGCAAGATGAAATAGTTGACAACCTCAATCCTTTCTCTATCATGTTACTGCCTTTTTATTAGTAGTACCTTTTCTAATAACATCAGCGGTCACTTAGTCAATTGCATCTTCAATTTAAAGAGCTTCTCTATGAAGTTATCTGCTTCCAGATAGAGAGCTCTGATGGCCTAGTGGCAAGAAGCAACACTGCAATCCCAAAGGTGTGCAGTTCCCATCCACCGGATGCTCTGCTGGAGGAGGGGCATTCGCCTCCTGTGCCAGTCAAGTCTGATTTGACGGCACACAACAAGTGTAAAAAAACCAACTAATTAAAAAAAAAAAAACACCAACACAACAACAACAAAAACCAAAAGCCCCAAAGGGGTAGCTTAGCTTTGTAACGTAAGAACCGGCTTTGAGAACTGGGTGCACCTTCCAGTCTGATACCAACTCATTGCTAATGTGTCAGAACCTTTCATTGGGCTTCTAAGACTGTAAATGGCACAGAAAGAGATTGTCCATCTTTACCCCATGGAGCCGCTGGTAGATTCAAAGCACCAGAGAGGTAGGAGTTTTGGGGTCTCAGTAGCTCCCTGGGGACTACATAATTGACTAGTACTGTCAAAATGACCCTTTTCAATGGTATTGGCTAGTGAACTTGGTGGCAAAGGATATGAGAAAGTCTCCAGGAATCCTTTTCTTTCTTCTTCCTAAATCCTTTTATGTTTTGAAAAATGTTAATCATAGTGAATGTATTATCTCTTCAATGCCTAATTTTTTTCCCCCAGCGGAGCTATTTGTGGAAACACACACACACACACACACACACACACAAATTACACTCAAGACATTTGAGCAAAATAAAGCAGTGCTTGTAGACAGTTAATCAAGAAAATGCTTCAACAGCCTGCACTTGGAGTAGAGTTCTGTGTGGGGGTATTAAGAAGCAGTTATGAGGTGCCACTGAGCCAGTTTTGCCCTGTGGCAATCCCACGTGACAGGTCTTTCTTGGGAAGAGATTTGCCAGGTCTTTTTCCCATAGAGCATTGGTGGAGGAGATTCGAACTGTCAACTTTTCGTCCAAGTATTCAACTGCTTTTTACCTTCAGGGCTCTTTTAAAGAGAATCGGACTGTTTATTTCATCAGCCTGATGAAGAAAATGATCTGTTTTCAAAGTCAGACAAAAACCTAGTGGCAGACCAAGACTAGACAGCACGTCTCTAGCAGTTTAAATTTGCAGTGAACTTGAACTTGTTAACTCAAAAACAAATTCGAAGGGGCCTGGGCCCACGCACAAAAAAAATGAATGCTAAGAGTCAGGGCCACCTGGGGAGGCATGTAGGTGACCAGAGGGGAGTGGTTAAAAGCAAATCTCAGAGCTCATTCTTGAACAATTACATAGCCCCAGTACTGGTCCGGTTGCTAAGATCTTTTCTAGATCAAGGAGGTCTCAGCAGTCAGGAGGGTCCTCTGGGGCCTGCCAACCACAGTGCATCTGCAGTGCCCCTGGCACTAGGGAAGAGATGCTGTGGGTGGATTGGAATTGACCAGACACCCCATGTCAGATACCTTCTGGGTGCCTTGCTAAGAGGGTGAAGGGAGAATGAAATGGGATCATTTCTGGGGAGCCATCAGAATATTTAGGCACAGAACTGTCCAGCTAAAGAAATAGCCTATACAACCCACCTCTTCCTACAACATTTCTGGTTCATGTTCCCTATACGTTTCTTTCCCTTCATTTTACTTGGATTCACAATGAACGCCTCTGGCAGCAGCAGTCCAGAAATCAAAAGATAGGTTGTACTGAGGAAATCTGCTGAGTGTGGAAGAGCAGGGATGCCAGTTTGAAGACTAAAGTGTGCTTGATCCAAGCCATAGTGCTTTCAGTTGCTTCCAGTGCATCTGAAAGTTGGCAATGACTAAGGATGGCAGAAGAATCAATGCCTTTGAATTGTGGTGTTGGAGAAGAGCGCTTGAATATCCCATAGACTGCCAAAGGACAAGACAGTCTTGGAGGGAATACACCCAAGGTGCTCCTTAGAAGCAAGTATGCCCTCTTCCTTTGTCTTCTGAGGTTACCTAGGCAGATGATCACTTACTTCCTTCGATCTCTGATTCCAGAGATGACCAGGAGGATAATGCCAATCACCACCACTCCGATCACCACCCCAAAAACAATCAGCCAGATGTCAACAGGTGGCTGGTAAGGGGGAGCCAGTGTCGGCTGAATCCCCACAAACTCCAGGGTGTTATCATCCAGGCGGAAAGCATCATTGATACGGCCCCGGGACATCCTGTTCGTAAAAACAAAACACAGCAAAGAGGCTTAACTCTGTTCCAGAGAGAATCAGGTATGGCTGAGCCTAAGAGTGCGCACCTAAAATAACAATGAAATAATGTGGAAGACAGGCAGTTAGACAATAGACCACCTTTTCTATCAAAGAACCAAAGTTAGGTATGGCAGCAGCTTCAATGGGGGCCAGTGGGGGTAGGGATGGGGTGGTCACAAGCGTGGAAAAGTGCAAATGGCGGGTGTTTGGGGAGACGTTCTGCTATGTCAGAGCCTCACTATAATGACTTGCTAACAAATACTGGCAACAAGTAACTCCTTTCCAAAAAAAAAAATAAAATAAAATAAAAAAAGGCATCCACTCCTGCAGCCAAGTCAGAGTCATGCGAATGAGACAGAAGAGGCCACTCTGGGATGAAGAGGGAAGTGTCTGGCATTTTGTCTGCTTCTTGGTCAGGGGGTCTGAGCCCACCAGGGAAGGAAGGAGGGCAAATCGAAATCAGCCCTCGGATCCCCTTTCCCGGCAGGCCAATGTGGAAACCAATCGCAAGGGCCCTGCGGGGTATAGTGGTGGGCCCAGCTCCCGGGAGGGTTGGGCCCCCACGTGGTGAGCCCCATGACGTCTGTAACACACCAGTGCAGGCCCACCCTGCCCTCCCGTTGCCAAAGAACAGCGTTCTGGGACCTAGCTCACGATCGCCACCTAGTGAGCGGCTCAGTTGCAGAGGGCGTATTATGCTTTTTGTTTGTTTGAAGGTTAAACGAAAAAAAAAAAAAAATCAACACATCCCCAAACCCAGACAGTCTAAATGGAATTGATTTTCACTATTTATTATCTATGATTTTCCTTTTCTGTCGCTTCCCCTGCAGTGCTATTTTGGGGTCACTTCTCAAAGAAACTCTTGTTGTTGTGGGCGGCTGCTGAATGGCCGTGCACTAAGAAGGTTTTCACTGACTGACTGTCAGAGGTAGATTATCAGGCCTTTCTTCCTACTCCTTCTTAAGGACTAGGTTTCAGCAACATACAAGTGTCTACATGGGCAATAACTACACGCGAAATGCACTGACCAGGAACTGAACCCAGGTCTCCCACGTGGGAATTGCAGATTCCACCACTGAATTACACCATCCAGTACTTTACCCCCCAGAGACATATTTTTATATTGGAGTTTCTGATTTTTTTTAATAGCAAGGTATATTGTGACATAACATCATTTCTATTCAAATCATTGTCTCAGGCTGCATCTTTCAGGTTGGAAATCAACAATTCCCTTGGCATGAGATCTTTCTGGAATGAAAACTTAAGCTTGGAAGATGAAGCGAAACCTGTCAGTGACGGAGAGCAGTGCCCAGTAAACATTCTGGGTGCACGAAGAGTTCGCAGCCATGAAGATCTGAAGACCGGGGCCCTTGAAAGGAAAAATCTCACCTTACGGCATTTTCAACTTCAGTTTTAGGAATGGTTTCAGACCCGTTCGGCATAGTGACAGCGAAGATGAAAGAGACTCGGGGTTTCAAATCCCATATATGCACGTCCTCCACTCTGTGGTGAAACAAAAGAAACACCTTTCTTGAGGGCTGAGATGCCCCAGTAAAGGAATGAAGACTTCCTCTCTGGTGGGAAGGAGACCAGGGAGAGGAGAGGGCCTTCAAGTAGAATGAAAAGGGTAGCCAGGCAGGTGGGGGGGACAGGCCATCACTGAGAGGGGAGGCTGGGCCGAAAAATCAAAGTTGCCCCAAGCCATCAGATACCTAAGCTGTGCTAAGAATCAAATTTTGGCACCAGATTAAAGGCCACACTTCCACACACACCAGAGAATCAGCCAGCAATCACCTTTGACTCTGGGTGCGCTTACAGCTCTCACCCCCCACCTCTCGTTTCCTTCTCAGCAAACAAACCAAGTCTGCTTATCCCTAGAGGTCAAGCTCATGGGTGGGATTAAGTGAGTAAGAAGTCAAGACTGAGCTCTTGGCTGCAGGAATGATCCCATTAAAACCTCAGGTATATTGTGTGCCCTAGAACGCTTCATTGTCTACCAGTCTCACTTAGAATAAACATGTAGGTCCCAAGAATGGCCTTAAAGGGCCACCCACGTCCTTCTCTCCCTTGCCTTCACCCCATAGTGCCCTGGCCTCATTTTTGTCATCGATCAGAATCTGTCAGCACCTGCTGTTCCCTCTGCCTGTATCACACACACACACACACACACACACACACACACACACACACACACTATCCTCTAGACCCTTCCCTGGTGTATTTGTCTTCCTAGCACTGATCACTATTGAAATCCATTGTCCTTCACTTACACATTTTGTCTCACATAGCATATTTACTAGGACACTGAGATGCATGAGAGTATCTGAGGGGCACGCAGATAAGGCTTAATAAGAACAATGCTCTCACAATCTACAAGCCCAGCCAAATAAGCCATGAACTCATCAAATCACTGCCATGGGGTCCCTGTCAACTCAGAGCGGCCCCAGAGGAGAGTCGGGCTGCACCATAGGATTTCCAAGACTGTAAATCTTCACCAGAGCCCATTGCTCTAACTTTCTCCTGGAGAGCAGCTGGTGGGTTCGAACTGCTGGCCTGTTGAGTTCGCAGCTCAACTCTTAATCCATTGAACCACCAAATAAGCCACAATCATCCCTAACTAGAGAGGCTCAGATTTCAAAATTCCAAAACAGTCTAAAAGTTATTAGCTGTTGTCATTGTCAGGTGCCATCGAGTCAGCTGTGACTCGTAGAGACCCTGTGAAGGAGATATCTGAACCTTGCTCTGTCCTCATCTTCATTGTCAGCCGATCCTTGAGCCCACTGTTACGGTCACTATAGGCTGTTTTAATCTCAACCTGAAGAAGAGTTTAGGCAAAATGTTCTCAGACCCGAGACTGAGGGATGTGCTGGTTAGGGTGACAACAAACCAGCAAATCAACTCACCCAAAAAGGATTGTCTGGTTTTTTCCAGAAAAGTACTGCCTCATGGCGTATGCAATAGATGACCGGAAGAAGTACATTTCATTGTTATTCCACTTATACTGCAAATACAGAGGAAATGTGCAGGTTAGTAGGCATCACAGGACACGTTTAAATCGTGGTGCTCTGCAATCATTCGTCTTCATTTGTCTCAAATTCCTGAGAGACCTGTTATTGGTTAAAACAAAAATTAACTCCAAAACATCACGTCAATCCAAATTCATGGTGATAGTATGTCCTATGTGTTAGGTAGAAAAGAGGGTTGAGGGCAAGAGAGAGAAAGAAAGAAGGTGATCGCAAGAAATGAATAGGCCTTTATTGCGTGGTCTGAGAGGGACGCCAAGTGACCACATGTACTGAGGTCAAAATGGTGCCAGGGCAGCCAAGGGTGGTTTCTTTTTATGGAGGTTTTAGGGAGGACTATGAAAGGGAACATTTTGCTGGGAATCTGGGGTAGGGGTCCCATTAATTAACTTGGGTGTAGGCTTTTGTGTTCAGACCCAGAGCCTTATCTGATCATGACCTGGTCTCTGGTCTGGTCATCTTAGACATCATCAGACCTGGGGGCAAGTGTCCCATTCTCCCTCCATTACAGGCGAGGGTTGTAGCACCTACTGTGGCTTGGAGTTGCTAATCTACACGGAGCTCTGATGACCAAGAGATAAGAAGGTGCCCTGCAATCCCAAAGGCACATGGTTTGAATCCACCGACTGCTCCAGGGGAGAAAGATGAGCAGTCTCTTCCCATGTGATTTAATGCCTCTGAAAAAGCCACTGGAGGGTCAGCTATGGGTCTGTTCTGACTCCACAGCACACACCACCACCACCACCACCACCAATAATCAACAGGTTAGCAGGGCAAATTCACTCCAAAGGAGAAAGATGGGCAGTCTCCTCCTGTAAACAATTTAAATTGAAAGGGTTTGGAGTTGGTTTGAACTGCCATCCTTGATATTAATCACTCAGTTTACTGCCTTTTGGTCAGTTTCCCCTTATAGCAACCCTCCATTTGGATTCCAAGGCTGTAAAGCTAACAGGAGGAGCTTGCTAATCCTTCTCTCTCAGAGTGCCTCGTGGATTCGAACCTCTGGAGACATGCGGCCTTTTGATTAGTGGCACAACACTCCATAGACCCACCTCTCTGTCCTTGGGCATTGAGTCAGAGACAACTCATAGCTGACCATCAGATTTCCTTCCAGAGCCTGTGAATCGCAGGGGAGGGAGGAGGTTGCCTGGCATTTCCCCAAGGAGCAGCTGTTGGACCCGAAGAACTGGTTGGCTGCACACAAACTAATACTCAGGTGCAATTAGTTTGCACCACTCCCTGCAGGGACCTATCTTTAGGTCGGTGGCTCTCACACTTGTGAATCATCACCACCTGCTGGTGAGCTTGTTAAAACACCAAGGCCTAGCGCTCCCCCCCCCC